CCCCCCCCACTTTCTCTTACCTGCTCACTAACAGAGTAACTGGGAGAGCATGACCTCATATCAGACCACCATCATCTCCCAGCCAAATTTCTGTAAAGGTCAGTGTTTTCATCTCTAAGAAGGTCATGGATTACTTTGTTTTAAAATGAAAAGGAAGGAGAGTTCTTGTGTGTAGTTTGGTTCACTGTCCAGTTTCCCCAGGATGGCATGGTGACTGGGAAGTGAGACAAGTATTAAATCTCTCTCTTCCCTTCCTCTGTGATAACACTTTGCCCTCCCATCACCATATTTCCCTCTGCCCAGGACAACTCACAATGCTGCTCCATTTTTTTCCACATTCCAAGTACAACAACGACCACAATAACAGTAGATACATATTACAGAAATAACTTTAACAAGTAACAACTCATTGATAAAATTTAATACCAGAGAATGATCCCCAATTTCTGCATATTGGACTCACAGAACTCAATAGTTGGCTAGTCCACAACCTTACTCATATTAAAGTGACGCCATTAAGCTAATTATAGGGTTCCAGTCTGTGTTCTTACTACTTCCTGGTCTTACAGCTGCCACTTCCACTGCCAGTTGGTCTTATCAGAATATTGGCAAATGATTTCCCTATGTAATCAGTAAAATAAAATCCTCAGTTTTACCAGTTTTACCTGATGGAATTCCTACATAAAACAGTACCACATAGTACAAGACTCAAACCAAACTCTCCTCTCACTTTAATTCAATCACTCCCACCTCTTAAGCCTCCAACCACATAATTACAATTTTCATTGGCCTTCTTTATTTAATATAGTGCTAAAAAGTAAATATGGTGCTAGGAGTTACAAAATGTTCTGGAGATTTGTCCTCCTGGTTTAGACTTTGTTTCATAGGAACAACATTCGTATGCCTGGGAACTCACATGTACATTGGCTTGAATTCCATGGTAGAAGAAAAGTAGGGTGAAAAATCTGTTAAATAAATATATTTCCCCCTCTTTCTTTGATCTTTGTTTGATGCTTTCCAGGGTGTTTTCTTCCTAAAGCATCCAGCACTGTGCATCTCTATGAATCTGGTAACCATAGCTTTAAGTATTTATTCAGTTTCTCTTCAGGGTACTGAAAACTAGTTCTCTCTTTCTGAAGGAATAAAAATGCTTTAACATGTTTTAACTCATCTTGTTAGTAGTTCATCTTTTCCTTAACACAGAGAGCATCCTCTGGATTGGGGTTATATTTCTAATTCCTAGTTGCTGTGGTAATATAGAAGGCACTAAATGTACACTTCTAAATGATTTGAAAGGATAATTGGTTTCAGCTCAAGAAGTGTAAGTGTATCTTTAAGAGAGAATTCCTCCTCCTTATCTCTCTGTATAGATGAATTATGAACTGATTGTTTTTAAAATGTATGCCTTTTAAACAGATGTGCCATTTGAACTGATTATGTAATTTTCATTGGTGTTTGTATTTTAATTGTGCAATGTGTTTATTTGTTGCTGTATTTTAATATGTTGTTCCCTCCCTTGATCCATAGGGAGAGACGAGTAAGAAATAATACTAATGCTAATACTAATTCCAATAATATACACAATATTGGGCAGACTAGCAAAATAGAAACAAAGTAGACAATTTTGTGAATTAAATACCATGTGGTTAAGCCCAGTTTAAATGAAACTGATAAAAATAGATTTTCCTTCTGATTCTAGTAGAAGCACGACTCATGGGAAAGATTCCTTGTGTCTGTGTGTGCCTTCAAGTTACCCGTCAACTTATAATGAACTCATGGATTTCATAGGGTTTTCTTAGGCAAGGGAATACTCAGAAGTGGTTTTGCCAGTTCCTTCCTTTGAAATATAGCCTACAGCATTTGGTATATATTGGTCTCCCATCCAAGTACTAACCAGAGCTGATCCTGCTGAAATGTGTCTCAATAAACTTCTTCTTATTGATTCTTTTTGACAGCTGTGTCTGACTGTTCTTATTAAGTTTCACAGAGAGTCTGCTTATGCTTATCACAGTAAACCCACAGAACCAACATATCCATTCACTGGTCCCCATAGATCACTTTATGGCCCAAGTACCAAATCCAGGAGGTGATCTTAAGGGGAAGAGGCTCAAAGTGCATGACAGGAACTGCAGGACCAGCTTGGAGAGGCAATCAGGCACAGCTTCCAAGATCAGATAGGATCTGGTGCCTTTAGGGTAGGAATTTAAGCCCTAAAGGATTCCTTACTAACCTTAAACTGACAAGTCACGTTTTTATTGCTGAGTCTTTAATAAGAGATCAGATAGTGCTGTGACTCATCAACTACAAAAAAGACTAATAGAAAACTCCCCCCCCCCAAAGTCTTGAAAATCTGCAAATATTGAAATGGAGAGAGTAAATGGACTTGGACAAACCAAGATATCTGTTCAGTAAAGCATGGACAGCCTTTCTCAGAGAGTGAAACCCCAGAGGAAAGTAATGCAGAAAAAAGGATAAATGATTACATGTATTGTGATGTTAAAAATATGCAAACATTAAGTTTGCTTAGAGAAGCATCTGCTATGTGGTTACAGCCATAGTTACAAATGATGCTCATCAATGAAGTGCTGTAATTCGTATAAAAATTGCAGTCATATTAAAGAAATATAAATTTCCAGCTACAGTAAGAACAGAAACAGGAGCTAGTGTGTCATAGTGGTTTGAGTGTTGGACTACGACTCTGGAGACCAGGGTTTGATTCCCTGCTCAGCCATGAAACCCATTGGGTGACCTTGGGCAAGTCACATGCTCTCAGATTAAGGGGAAGGCAATGGAAACCCTTCTCTGAACTAATCTTGCCAAGAAAACCCAGTGATAGGTTTATTTTATATACAATACAAGTTTGATACTGGAGCAGTGGCAACATGGTTTCTGATGTAATAGTACCAGAACTAGCGTCTTATTAAGATGAGATATAGGGCCTAAGCAGACTGCCAGAAATAGTGCACATTAAATTGAGGCACTGCCCTGGCTCAGTGCTAGGGAATCATGGGAACTGTAATTTATTGTGGCACCAGAGCTCTCTGACAGAGAAGGCCCAATGTCCCAGAAAAAAAATACAATTCCCATGATTCCCTAGCACTATTTCTGGCAGTCTGCTTAGGCCTATAGAAAGCTAACTGTTATCATTTATATTCAGTATATCTTCATAGGTAGCTTTATGCTGTACTTAAAATTGCAACAACACTGCTGGCCACCTTAAGGATATTTGTAGAAATACATGCAATATTGTTTCTGGATGCTAATGTGAATCTGAGAATTTGAAAACATAAAAAGATCAATGAATAAATCTCCTGTGAGAGAGACTGAAATAGAAAAAAGACTTAAGACTCTCACAGATACCTCAAGTCAGGTTTACTTCAAAAATATGGAAATCACTATAGGTCTGAGGCATAAAAAGCTGTTATCCAGGGCTTTTATCAGCTTGACAAAATGTACAAATAGGAAATTAGGCTCTGACCACTGGATTTATACCCAAAAATTTCACACCTTTGTCTCTGTGAGATAAAAGGATAAGTGAAACAGATTACAACTCCAAGTTGCCTCTTTAAATGACTATTAACTATACCAGGAGTAGGCAACCTTTCCCCTTTAAGGGCCGAGGGACTTCAGCTCCCAGAATCCCAGGAGCTATTGGCCAACATGGGATTATTGGCCAACATGGCTGAGGCTTCTGGGAGCTGAAGTCCCTCGGCCCTTAAAGGGCAAAGGCTGCCTACGCCTGAACTATAGCATCAAGGATACAAGTTTCGACCACCCACAGTCACAACTGCAGATTAGAATTTCTGATGAAATTAAGTGGTAGTTGGTGCATGTTCAGAGATTTTAGCAAACATGAGATTAAAAATGAGACTAATATGATGCAGTAGATATCAACCTGGTTTTGAAATATCTACGTATTCCAGAATGGAAAGAGTAAACTCAGAGAGAACACAGCTAGAGATACAACTTTAGACCTTCTTTCAGACAGATTATCACAGGAAGGATAAGAATGGGAACAAAGCAGATTGCTTCCATCCTTATCCCATCCTTATCAAGTGATCGTCCTAAAGATTATCACACACATCATGCTTATTCCATCATTATCCTGTCAATGAAGTAGAATTAGCCCATCAGTGTTCATTAATTGAAACTTCCAATAATGAAAATTGACAGGACAATTCCATTTCATTGATGGGATAATGATGGGATAAGCACGACATCGTATGATAATCTTCAGGCGATCGTGCAATAAGTCCATTTCATTGACAGGACAATGATAGGATAAGCGCAACGTTGTATGATAATCTTTGGGCGACTGTGCAATAAGGACAGGAGCAATCAGCTTCACTCCCGTCCTTTTCCCCATCTGATAATCTAGAATGTCTGTAGACTGTCCAACACATAGAATGCTAGGTTCATAGTATAAGTGCAAATTTAGGTATTCTGATAAGTAGAAGAGGGGTACTTTTCAGAAATGTTTCATTCTTTTCAGACAGAATGGAAATTGCAGGCAAGTAATGAGGAGAAGACTAGGACTAGGAAGGGCAGCTATGAAAGAACTAGACAAGATCCTAAAGCATAAAGATGCACAACTGAGCAATAAAGTTACAGTTGTCCAAGCCATTGTATTCCCCATCACCATGTACGGATGCAAGAGTTGGACAGTGAAGAAAGCTGATACAAAGAAAATAAACTCATTTGAGATGTGGTGCAGGAGAAGAGTGCTGTGGGTACTCTGGACAGCTAAAAAGACAAATGCATACAAGAGCAAATTCAATCTAAACTTTTCCTAGAAACTGATCACTAAATTGAGGCTGTTATACATTGGCTGTTATACAGATGGCCATCCAGCCTTTGTTTAAAAACCTCCAAAAAAGGAGACTCCACCACACACCAATGGACTGTGTTCCACCATTGAACAGCTCTTACTGCCAGGAAGTTTTTTTCTAATGTTGAGGTGGAATCTCTTTTCCTGTGCTCCATTGCTTTTCCATTGCTCTGGGCCCTATTCTCTGGAGCTGCAGAAAACAAGGTTTGCTCCATCCTCAATAGGATATCCCTTCAAATATTTAAACATGGCGATTATATACTCTCTTAAGCTTCCCTTCTCCAGCCTAAACATGCCCAGCTCCCTAAGTCTCTCCTCATAAGGCATGGTTTTCAGACCTTTTACCATTTTAGTCATCCTCCTCTGGACATGCTCCAGCTTGTCAATGTCCTTTTTGAATTGTGGGGCCCAGAACTAGACAAAGTATTCCAGGTGAGGCCTGACCAAAGCAGGATAAAGTGGTACTGCACACACTTTCACACCCATATATATTGCATACATGTGCCTTTTAATTTAATTTAATTTATGTCCTGGAAACTAAAGATGGTGAATATTATTCTCCTTGCAAGACACTTACATTTTAATTCTTGCCTTTGAGAGCTAGGGTGGGGGAGAGACTGTGAATAGATAAAGGTAATCTTCAGAGAAGCTGGGATTTGAACCTGATAGTTTATGTACTTTGGGGCACTGGCCATGCGGCAGGATGTGGGAATGCAGTATCCTTGCAGCTCTCCTTGATTTGAGAAAAAGGTGTGTAATATGCCGGTAAAACACTTTTGAATTGTTAACTTCCAAAATGTATAATTTTTTTTTTGACCAGCAAAAGAAACCCCTAAGATAGGAGCCAAGGTTTTGAGATCTCCAGCTTGGTTCATTAGGCAAGATGCAAGTTAGTTTGGGAAAGAAAGCTGTACAATTTCTCTTAAGCTGTGTTAATTTTTTTGAAGCACTAAGGTGAGTCATAGTACAAGACAGACTTTCAGGACTAATTGTTCTTTTGATAGAGGATAAACAAGCATATCTGCTGGATAATAAAAAAATCATTGGTGTGTTTTATCTCATAACAAGAAAACATTTTACAGAGTTCATAAGTAAAATGTAACTTAATCAGGAAGAATTCAAAGATATATCTGTAAATTGGTGGTGTTGTCCTCCCATAAATTTTGCAGAAGGGCCCACAAGAAACCATGGCTGACATTGGTCATAGGCATAATTAGGATGAACTTGCATTTCTGTCTCCCATTCTCTCTTCCTGCATCCCATCTGAAGCCTGGCAGAAGATTAGCCTTTGGTTAATCTTTTCTATAAAGTTTCTTTCTCCTCCTCATGTTTCTATTTGATTTTTCTCTTTTCAGTTTTTGTTGTGTTTCCCACCTTGTTTATCTGTAGTTTTCAGGCTGTTCACATAGCAGATCCAATATGTTTTCAGCAAGGGATTTCAGTTAAGATGATTAGTTGCTCTAGTACAACGCTAGTAGACAAGATTAACACATGGGAATTTCTATATGAAATAAGGCTTACACACATTCATTTTTAGTAGAGGGCATTAAACCACATGTTATATTCCAAACTGCAGACTTTCCATTCTTGTGTCTTAGAGGGCTGGGGATTTGGGTGTTGAATCAGAGTACATATAGCTTTCTTTCTTATATGAACATTTCCTCATATAGTGCAAAAGGAGATTTTTTTTCACCATTTAATATAAAACTTGAAAAACATTAGATTAACATTACTACTGCTGCTGCTACTACTACTACTAATAGTAGTAATTTATTTATACCCCTCCTTTAGCCTTGGCTATCAAGGCGGCTTACATCTAAAATCAAATATATAAACAACCCTTACAATAACAACAAAACAATGTACACTAACATATTTTACCCCCCCCCCATTAAAAATACATTAAATACAAGTCTCAGTTCAAACAGAGTTTTAACAATAGACAAAATTAAAAATAATAGGCACTCTGGAGCAAAGCAAGAAAATAAGAAAATAAAAATAAATTAAAAAAAACATTTTTTTATTGACGGGGGGAGATTAGAATAGATGAGAAGTTTATTCTGGGTAGGCCTGCCAGAAGAGATCTGTCTAGATGGCTTTTTTAAAGCCATCTAACTGCCTCAGCAGATGGCTAATTGAGC